GGTTCAGAACCCCAGACTTTCTGAGCACTGTGCACTTTCTGTACACTGCAGCCTCAAGAAACCTCTTTGATAGCTTATTAGGAAGAAATGTGGAGAAAACTGAAATCTTTCTATAAATTTCAGAGAAGTAGGTAATTGACTTTGCAAGGAAATTTTAAATATCTTGAGAAGTAATTTTGCCATAACATAGCCTAGTTTTAAACATATGTTCAAAACTTAACTGGGCATTTTTCTCTCCAGAACCAGTTAATCCAGACTGATCAGACTGAAAACATTAACAAAAACTGTATTGACATCAACACGGTATAAATTTCACACTTTATCTCAGACCTATTATAAATTCATAAATACATGAATGGCAACAGATTCCCTCTGAATATTAACAAAGGTATTTCTTTGAGGTTTCTAAAAATTGTACACATAATAAAAAGTAACTAGGCATTATATGATGGGTTTTTTTGTGGCCATGGAATTTCTCTGACCTGTTCCTGTCATAATTTGATACAACCAAGAGCAACCAGCTGAGACACATGAAGTTAGCCTATTAAGTTAGTAGTACACTTTTGTTTCTGAATTATAACTATTATATTGTCAGAAACGGTATCTTAACCATCTGTGAGCATCTTAGTACCTCTATATATTTAGAAAAATATATTTTTTAAATTTTACTAAATTTATAAAACCAGAACATCTTAAAGCTTATATTAAAACAGTAGAAGAAATGTTTGATATTTTAACTCGTGGTTGTTGAGAGACATAAGAGTAACTCAAGGAAACTAATAACAGAGGAGCTATCCATGTACAATCTGTAGTCTGACACCATAAACTGCTGGTCTTACATGAGAATATGTGAGCTCTCTACACCTATGTGAGAGGCTTCGAAGAGATTTCCATTAGGATTCCCAAGCAATGGTTTGATGTATCTAGAGATCAATTTTCCAATGTTGGATCATTCCATATAGAGATTAACTCATCCATAAACAACCATTTGCATATTCAAAGTTATACTTTTACAGTATTTTTTTAAATTCAGGCAGAAACAGAAGAATAATGTTCCCTGTGAGCACTCATGCCTTGTTTTTTCAGTTTAACATAACAGGATTTTTTAGGAGATCTACTAGCCCACAACAGCAAAGTCAAACGTGAAAAAGTTGATTGCAGGAAATTACAGCAGTAAGTATTTTCCCTCGTTGTACATTTGCTCTCTACATTTTATGTTAATAATTGTCTGCAGAACTAACAGTAGACAGCTAGGTGCTTGTCCAAACTGACAGCAAAGTCATAGCCTACAACGTAGGTTGTATGAAAGTAGTTTAGCTGTGGGATTTAATACTACAGTTCTTGCAGAGAACGGGGAAACTCAGACATCCAGAAAGTAACAATCAGTGTAGCTGTCTGTCCATAAGGAATCGTTCCATTTCAAAGTCACTAGAGAGCTCAGTGGCCTGTGTGGCTTTTGCTGGATTCAGTACCATTTTGCCACTCAGTACTGCGAGTCAGGAAAAGAATTAGGCTTTTGTTACTGATTCTATCAGCAAAAAACAGAATTCCTTGGAAGCATGTGGCAGATTTCCAAGAGACTAATATACTTCTCCTACCTTTTATATAACACTTTTTATCTGAGAGATGTGCGTTATTTTGTAAGGATGTAGCAGCCAAACATCAGACAGTATTGTCATGCTCAGCTCGCAGGAAAGGACACAGGTCAAGAAAAACTGAATGACCTGGTGATCCAAGGCCATCCAATAACGTGTGCAAAAGAAGTTACAGATTTCTCATTCTTATGCTAAACACCAGATAATCCAATTACAATATTTATCGCATTCTATCAGACTGTTAAGAGCCATATTAGATGGTGAACATCTTTACATTTTGCATTTTTGGGGGGATGCACAAAACCCCCTTCAAGATAGTAACTGAAAAGTTTCCATAAAAAGGCGTAAACAAGGATCTTACCTGGTGCTTCAGCGGCGAAGCGTGAAAGAGGCACAGCAACCCAAAGAGAAGTCACAGAGCATTTTTTAGCTGCCAGTTGTGTTCCTTTGCTGGACGGGAAGGAATCCAAACAGCAATTACGCACCCTTCGATGTTATTTCCCACCTGTTTCCCTGGCCGGGGAGCACGCAGCTCCTTACTGCTTCCCGAGGGAGGTTCTCCTGCCGGCTGAGGCAGCTCCTGCTACACCAGCCTGCTGAGTTGACACCAAGTTGCCGCGGTAACTCTCCCCTCCCGGCCCGGAGGGGTATTTTGCTTGGAGTTCAGTTAGTTCCAGGAGAGCGGTGACCCGTGGATGCAAACAGAGCTCAGCTCTGCTCAGAGATCTCCCAGCAGTGCCCAGAGCCAGGCGGGATTCCTCTCCTCTCCTCTTCCCGCCTCCACGGACGCTCATCTATTTCTATGTCATTCTAACTTTGCAGGCAGCCTCCTCACCTGGAACACTGTGAATAGGTGTCTCTTTTCGGGCAGCCTTAAGCAGAAAGCTCCGAGCGTACTTTTTTTGTCAGACTGTGCCTGAGAAGTGGGGGGAGAGAAGGAAGGATAAGAAGAGGTCTGTCCGGGCTCGGGCTGAGCCGAGAGGGTGCTGAAGGGAACTGTTTTGCTGGATACCCAGCAGGACTTGGCCGCCATGGCCCAGGACATGGTGACACAAACAAGGGGGGACACGGTTTTCCCTCAGGTTTTCCCTGAGAAGCTGCCCATTTCTCTCTGTCTGCGGGCACCCGGCACGGCCGGCCTAACGGCGACCAGCACCGGTCACCGCAGTGTTAGAAATGAAATGAGTCTGGAGATTTTGCATTCTAGTGTTAGAAACATAGTGTCGGGTTTGGTATATATATATATCCTAGTGGTTTAAAGGTATAGTTTGTTTGAGATAAGTGAGGTATCTGCACATTCTAAGGACGCCAAGAGTGGTTTGTGGCCCAAGGAACTGAGGGAGTGAATTGGGCTCCGTCTGGGGATCCCAACATGGAGCAGGATTGATGGCCCAAGACCAGACCCAACAAAGCCACCTCTGTCCTGCTGCTCAGGGCAGGGTGACACCAGTAGGTTTGTCAATTGGGAAGGCAGCCAAGGGGGCAAGACAGGTCAACATTTTACCTTAAAAGGTAAAAAGTAAACTGGTAGAATGGAATGGGTAAACAGGGGCGGGAAACTTCTAAGATAATTTGAAGCGTCGGAGAGGCTGTGAATCCTGGAGTGCCCAGCCAGCGGGGAAACAGGGGAGGGAACTTCGGGAATAGGGAATATAAACCGTTATTCACCTCACTACGGGTGTGCCTGCGTGTTTAGGTCACCCGTTCTTGCAAGAACGTAAATGTGCTTCGTTGAAGGGCCTGCGTGGCCCTGTTCATTGGCGCGACAAACGTTTCTGAGGAGGGCGAGGGACGAGGAGGGTGAGGGACGAGGAAAATGAGGGACGAGGAGGGTGAGGGACTAGGAGGAGGGGGAGGA